AAAAATAATAATAAAAACAAGAAATTCAAACTTTTTGCTATGATATTTACAGACATTCCCAGAACTTGTGACTCAGTCATTACATAGATACTGTTATAAAATGAAGAATTATATAGTATCGTCAAGTTCTGATGATCTATTGGGGAGATATTTGAAATACCATTTCAATGAACAATCCGAGTCATCCCTACATAGGCAGTGCCATCGGATGCCTGATAAAAACAGCCACTACATAACCATCAGTGACCAAATTCAAGCTAATGTATTCCTGAGGAGTTACCAAACAGAAACAAGAGTGATCCAGAGAGAACCCACCTCATTCTTAACCTGTAAACATTAAATTGAAGAAATTCGATAAGGTACAACTGAATAGTAGTGAATATCTTTCCGAATAAGAAAGATAAGCTGTGATCACAAATGGAACAACTAAGATGATACATAGAGAAACCTAGAAAAGTATAATTATAATTAAGTATTAGCCAAATTCACGAACTATTATAATGTGAGGAGAATATGAATCATTGTTTTGAGCTAAGTATCAAGACCCTTTAAGCTTTGAACATTCCACTGTAGAACTTTAAGATGGGAGATAATTACGAGCTATGTCACTAGAGCACGATATATCAAGAACAACCTATAGTTTAAAGGCACGATATCCAAAATGCTTTTCTACTGTCTTTGTAACGGCTTGTAAATTTCGACGACTTAGTATGGACCTAGTAACGATCACTTAGAGTTTTCTTACAAGAAAAGAAAACTAGTTAGGAAGAAGAGACAATGGCTTGGGGTAGAAATATCAACTGAAATAGCTACTGAAACACAGGGGGTTGTATGTTTTGCCAGATTAGAAGTATTAAAATGACATTTATTTTCTTACCTCTACAGAGGATACCTTTCTGGCAAGAGTTTTGTTTAAAGGCAGATTAGTCTCTCTAGAAGATAAATTTTGCTCTACTCTTAAGTGTTCAGCTTTCTTAATTAGTAAGTGAACTGGACACTGAGAATTGTGCAGAATGTGCTCTGCCACAATTAACCCAATCCGATGCCTCATGTGAATTACCATATTTAGGACATTGAGTCCGACCAAATATATCCAAAGTGATAACAGTAAAAACGTTGTAACGGATTATTAATGTTGGGTCACACAAAGAAGCATTCCAAACCAATATTAATGTGAGTGGGTAAAACTCTTCCCTGAAAAGTAACTACAATATTCGAAGTGTCTATTAGCTCTTCTTTTCCTCTCCTTGTCAGTTGTTGAACACGCAGAATCATATAATCAGAATTGAAAAGTTTCTCGTGCAAGTCCCATGTATCTACCTTTGGTGACAGTCAGCAAACAACTCCTCTACATTATCTATTGGATCTTAGTAATTGGGTGGTAACAGGCCACTCACTTAGTTGAAACATCTAAAGCAATGCTTGGGCAGAAGAGAAGGGTTTCACTTCCGTCACTAAAGCCCCGCCATTGAGTTTTCAAATTTCATGAATCTCAGATACAAGAGTTTTTTTGCTTCAAAACTCGAGCCGAGGCTAGTTGACTGCATTTATTTAGGTTCATTTGAATAGGACATAGTAGTACAACTGGGTTTCCTATTATAGTTTGATTATCGGTATTACTGGGAATATGTAGAGTGTCTTAAGATTTCACTGTATATGATTCCAAAGGTATTTTTTATAGTTCAGTGTAAGGTCTGAAAGCTTTGTTATAAGAATGTTGGACTGTCACCTCAGGAACTGTAACAAATGTCAAAGAATTGTTATGAGCACTTCTCGATTCTATATTATCAACTATCAGTTTCAAATAGAGCCGACTGTAGAACAGCATCTCATAACATGAATTTAGGCCTAATTTGACTAGGAACAAATATTCAAGAAGGGTCTAATAACAGACACATAAGAGCAATTATCTTCCGGCTCTATGGTTACTCAGAGTCTGGGTAAAAAAGTGTAAAAAATTCAGGTACCCAGTAACTAATACTAGTCCAAATAACTAAATTAGTAAACGGTGCAGAAAACAGAAAAAAAATACAACTAAGAAAATGAAAGGATACAAATAAGAAACAAGTAACGTATAAGATTCCACCCTCACTTCTCACCTGCTTAACCCTCTTAGGCCTACTTCTTATTTCGCTGTCTCGTAAATCTCTTCCGTATCTGTTTGTAAAATCCAACCTCTCAAACTAATCAAACAGAACTCAGGGATACGCCAGTACAGTGTTATACAGCTTAAAGTTAAGTTACATGATAAATTACACCATAAAAGACGTCGACAACTAAACACAATAAGAAATGTTAGGTACGGAACCATAAAGATGGTGTAAATAGATTTCCTCATCACGATTTCAGATATTATCATTTTTAACAATAGCCCATGTTTCAAAAAAAAAAAGTTTTGAAAGTTAATTTTCTTAAACAGAATGGAGGTAGCCTTCCTATTAATATTACGAAGTTTAATATAAGAATATTCTGCCAAAGTTGAATGACCACTATATATGACCTAACCTTTCTGTTTAGTATGTCAGGTTCTAAAAATCTGACATAAATATACATATTTTCACAAATAACAAACGGAATGAAAAATAAACATGTTACCAATCTTTAGGAATTTTACCTTTTAGGTCATATAAAATATTTTTTTAAAGTCTTAGTATGTTTATGGGCTACTTGGAAATCATCTTTTGAGAAATGCTACCGAGGCATTCTGCAATGCCTTTCACAATAGGTGAAACAATCTTTTATTCTGAAAATAAAAATTAGACCCGCATTTTTTTTTCTAAATGGCTTTTGTATTTGAATCTATTTACAAACTACGGAAAATCCCAGACAAACCATCCTCAAACAGTCTTTTGTCTTTTTAACTACTATTAATTCTTGATTCATTGTTTCATGCAAAATACATAACTTAAGACCTTTTTTTTTTCTTCAAAACTACCCCCCCCCCCAGTGGTACAGCGGCATGTCTGCGGACTTACAACGCTAGAATCCGGGTTTCGATACCCGTGGTGGGCAGAGCACGGATAGCCCATTGTGTAGCTTTGTGCTTAATTACAAACAAATCTTCAAAACTTTGAATTAGAGAAACATTGAGAAAATAGGATTGAGATCGTAGGTATCTACCAGAATGTGGTTAATATTATTATGAAGAAAAGGTAAACTGTTTAAAGTTTTTTTCTCCGTTGTAAACTAAATATTTGAATTAATATTATTCAAGTGAGAATGAGTGTGTAATATACGATTCTGGTAATACTACAAAAATATCATCAACGTATAAATTTACCGGCCATTTACCTTCCCTCTGGTCAGCAGTGTAAAATTAGAAACGGCGGCAGATAGTCATAGTAGCTTTGCCAAAAGCACAAGCAAACAACAACAAAAAAAGGCCATAACTAAATTAGTTAAAACCAATTTATAGAATATTTTATTAAAGACAAAATTATTACTACTGAGTACACAAATATCCAAAGGGATTAAAATGGTTTCGACTGACAATTCCATTCTATCTCAAGAAGATAAATCACTTTTTTACTACATTCAGTAACTTCAAAAGCTATGATATTTTATCGAGCGAAAGCATGATGTCTTCTCAATTAATAGATTTCTTGGTTACCAGCGAACAAAAACTCTTCAGAATTATTAACACTAAATTCCATTTTGTTGGTTAAAGGTGAAGGGATATTGGCAAGTAAACCAAAGATGTGATAGAAAAGTGAATCTTGAACAAAATATTATAACATTTCCTTTTCAGATCTTTGAGAACGGGCTTGATAGGCATATTTCAAAATATCAACAGTCATTTGTTATAATGGAATCAGACAGTATTTGGTCTTGTAGGCTCTGAACTGAGATACGCACAGATACTTGCAACTAGAATATAAGGACTTATATTAAAATAAAGACCTCTGTTAAAATACCTGTTTCATTTTCAGCAAACAATTGTAAAAATAAGTTAGTAAGTCATTTTGTATCCTTTTATTATACTCCTAGAAGAAGTGGCGTAACTACACAAGATGCTCCCCTCCCGCATAAAAAATAATTGGGTCTCCTATATTTATTTTCCTATAATTGTAATTACGATTCTGGCTTATTCCATCCTCTTTTTCTGGCTCGCCCCACCCTCTCACAATTGCGGGGGCTACGGGAGCATACTTATACCACTGCTTAGGAGCTTCTTGCAGTGTTTCGATCTCGTAAAAAGTTGAAGATTTGTTTGTTTTTTCTTTTTGCTCCGGCATTTAGTTGTTTATGTTTTAGTCCAACTTAACTTTGATTTTCATTTGTAGGTCGTGGTTTAAATTATATCATACAATTACATTAGTTAATTGAAAAACTGCTTGTACCATAGCTTTATAAAACAGTTGTGAACTAGCCATTTGGTGGTAAATTGTTGAACTCCGCCAGTCATTCTTTTCAAACTCTTAGACCTGTTAACGTATTGTTGGTGTGAATGTGCTTTATAGTCACTAGAAGAAAAACCTATACACTAGATAGGTGAAGTGAAGTAAAAGTGTCATTGGCCACTATTCAATTCTTCACATTATATAGCCGCACAATAGCAGATATAATAAATAAACTTAGTATTCCGAATACTAAGTTTATTTATTACAACTATGACCTGTTAACCTTCTCGCGTTAATTGTATAAAGTAAAAAGCAGTTTAGTAGAAACTGATTTTTAACTAGTCGTTTGTCATTAGAATGTTGCATGCATATAAACTCTCACGTTGATCATTTGCAAGTGAAAACATAATTTAAAGCTCTTGTACCTTTTCATTTGCGGTTACGGAGCTAAAACAAAGCACTTATCACCAACAGCGATTGCGCTGTCGGGTCACTTACCATAAAATCCTTATTGGGTGTATGGACACAGCACGTGCTGGCCATGTGCAGTTCTGGCGCGTGATGAGTGCCGCTCCCGTGATTACAAAAGTCCTGTTCTTGATTAGAAAGGTCGTAGACCTGTATGAAAATTGTAGGTTGGCTCCAGAAACAGCAATAAACATTGAAACACGTATATATGTATTTCATTTTGATATATACTGTCTATAATGATAGGAATACATATAATTCACGAATATCTTAACAGCATAGATATATATATATATATTTCCTTGAGCTATGACAACGATGTATCCTCAAAAATGTATACTTTTTCCATAACACATAATTGTTTGTGTTTATTATCTATCTGTTTAGTAACAACTGCTAATTATATATAAACAAAGCACAGTATAGAAGAGCCCAATTAAAAACAAAGTTTAAAAAGTTTTCTCTTACATCGAACTTCCAGTTTCTCATTTAAGTTAAACAAAACGCAAAATAAAACTAGAAAAAAAATGCTGTAAATGAATTAGTTAAAATATGTTTGGATCAAATAAGCATTCGTTGTGATGTACTCTAAATCCTTGCTAATAAGGTCATATAATAGACTAATAAATCACAACTGTTTCCAGCACCAAAAATTAATGCACACAACTGTTTTAATTGTTTAATGAACTGTTATTTTTATATCAATAACAAGCGGAAATAACCGTCAACTGATGAGAATTGTTTAAACTTAATTAAAACAATGTAAGTTTAACAGCAATCATATATTTCAAAGTAATAAATTGAACATAAGCTTTATCTCAAAATTTTAAAATTATAACAAAACTTCCTCATAAACAACATTTGCAGTTTGCTTTCCATCTACCAGCAAATATAGATTTTGAAGTGATCCCACTTTTGAACACCTTACGTATCATTATAGCATGATTGTTTGAGAAACAGTCCAGCAACTTTCATACTTTGACCTTGAATTCCTTTAGAATGTTCAACATGTCTAAAGCGTCAAACCTGCCAAGATTGTTTGAGATTGACTCGATAGGCTGGGAGTAATTAACCAACAGGCTTTACAAAACAGAAATAGGGTTAAGTTCAATTTTTGCCTCCTTAGGACATTC